GGGGGTGTTACACAAACATGTGCATCTGCAGCTATGCAATTCGTGTAAGTTTCCCCTCTGTTTTACTGTTCTGCCATGAAATTTGCATGTATTTGCCAATTTCAGACATGCTCTGCTTTGAAATGTGTGCATATCTGTTGATCATCATCACTGCTCTATAATCTACATACATGTTTGAATGCTAATAGTACAGTCCAGTGAAGGGAAGCAACAAACACCAAAAGTTAAAAGTAGCTGGCAGTTGCAGCAGAAGGGGTTTTTTGGGCAGGTGTGATAGGTAGTACATGAAACAACTGTTTTTAAGGGGCACACTAGTTTAGCAAGCTTTGAAAGGAGGATGAAACTGATACGGACACTGACAAGAGCGGGGATATTGACAGGCTAGGCCAGGGGTCGGCAACCTTTAACACTCAGAGAGCCATTTGGACCCATTTCCCACACAAAAGAAAACAATGGGAGCCGCAAAACCTTTTGACATCTAAAATGAAGATAACACAGCATATATCATTTTTTTTTACCTTAATGCTATGTATATCTTCATTATGATTTGGCTGCAGCTCTTTTTCAATCACTAAAAACTGTTATTTTTAATCTTACATTATAAACTAGTAGGACTCCTTTCATATATTTTGAATAGGAGAACAGCTTCCTGAAGAGTCAAAGTCAGTGCTAAAGGGCTGCATGCATTAAACAGCAAACCCCCATAAGTTCGTAAGTGGTAAAAGCAAATGAATATACCCATGTATCATTAAACGTTTGGTTTTCTTCAGAAACTTTTCTTTTCTTCAATTTATTCATGGTTGGCCTATGGTGGGAGGGAGCTCAGTAAATTGGTGCGGATCCGCAGATATAGGAGATATAGGTGTGTTTAGTGACTGATTAGCAGATAAACAGTCAAGTGCTGTGAATTGTGACAGGTCCCAAGCGCAGCTTTTACCATTCAGATGAAGGAGATTACATTGGGACAAAGAGAATCTTTTCAGCAGTTTCATGTAACATGAGAGCCTGCAGGAAGCTTGTTTAGCAGAGGAATGTAGCGATTTACTTAACTAGCTGATTTACTTAACTAGCTAGTGCTGAGTGGAGCTTCCAGCAGATCAGCGGCCGTGCCAGCACGTTTTGAGCAAACGGAGCCGCAACAGAGGAGTTCAAGAGCCACGTGCGGCTCCAGAGCCGCGGGTTGCCGACCCCTGGGCTGGGCAAAATAGGCACAATGTTGTGCTTTTTTACACCTGTCAGTGACTTTGATTAGAAACATGTTACCATATTCATATAGGCTCAGAAAATCCATTTTTATTTGGACAGCTGATGGCGGGAAGGGGAAGTTTCTATCAGTACTAACAACTCTAACAAGCCAACTGCAAATATCCTGACACAGAAAATAAAGAGTTCTGCCACAAAGGTACCAAAAAGATATATCAGGAGCTGATGGAAGGCCTTGGGGGGGGGGGGGACCGAGCGGTAAAACAGGTTAAGAAGCAAGCAATCATCCCATGATGGCTTATGCTCAATGTGACATGAGAACTCACCAAAGGCTTCTAACTAGCCACATAATAATTGCAGAAACGCATATAGGCAAGCCTTCTTTGATATTTAAAATACCAACTACAGTAACGTTCAAAGCTTTTCGAGAAAGTTATAAGCCCTTTACTGAGCAAATTGAGATAGCTATTATAGCTTATACCACTTAGAGAAAGAATACACTGATAAGCAGTTCCTTTGCCAATATCACATTATGGAGGAATTTAGTAGGGATATGGAATTGCTTTGAATATTTTTGCCTGGATCCAGGATTAGTAATATATAACAGCTTTTCTTGCTTTCTATTTGTCCCAGCTCCCTAATTTCTTCTTCTATTTTTAAGTTGCTTAAATGTGTATTTGAAGACCTTGCCTTAAATTTACTAATGTCAAAAACAGTACTTTCTTAGAATGAACTTTATGCAGGAAATGTTGTATGTGGTAAATCAAATAGGTTCCACCCAAGTACTAATCCAAATATGTTTCACTTAAATTGAAGTCCTCACCTAACAAAGCAAGAGGAGTACAGCCGGAATAGAAGCAGATAGGTGCCAGACATTTTTGCCTGTCTCCCATCACTTCCTGTTTCTTCTTACATGGCAGTTGCTATAAATCATTCAGTGGTACAGTCAACTGTTATTTGCCAAATTCACCATATAAAATTTGGTACATTTTACTTCAGGACATGATGCAGTACCTTTCTCCTCAAAATAACTAAAACTAGCAGATATAAATACATGTTCTGAAATATATTTTGATAATCAAAGTTAAATATATCATGCAGTATCATTTCCTCACATAAGTAAGGATGCAAATGTAGCTTTAAAAAAACAAGATTTCTAAAGAAATAAACAAATGCACAAAAGTGTACAAGGATTTCAGTGTACAGCTATCTAGTTTGATTCCTAGAATATGGATTTTTGTTAGTTTTTGTTGCATTTACACTAAAATTCAGGAGAGCGAGACAAGGAGCTATTGAATCTAACTAACTTGAAAGAAATTTTTAAAAGCTTCTGGCCTACCGTACCCTTACTTTGCAGTAGTTTCTTTAAAACAAAAAGGAAAGAATTTGTTATTTCAATTAAGGCCAAAACATCAAACTACATCTATGGAAATGCTAGGCTACCAGAATAGTAAGTATATAAACTATTAAAATTTTAAGG